TAAATACACACTTTCATATGTCTGTATAAAATTTTTTCCTGAATAAAATTTGGTAATCTATGCAGCCAAATGTTTGTTCTAAGATAAGGCAAACCAATGGCATTTTGTGTGTGGTGTTTTGGGCCCGAAATATTTCGAACGCATCTTTGTTAGGCATTGTATGAAAAAATCCATTTTCAGTGCGTGCACGACTTGTTAATGACAAACAAGATCAAGCCAAAATATCATCTTGTTGGCCTCGAAATTTTTAGATTTAATCTATGAAGACGTCTAGCCGCTCGTGTACATACTTGGTGGTATCTCCCGAATTAACCGTTGTGTTCTCTGTTACGGATTTGAGGACAGTGTACTATCTAGGAATTAGCCATATTGGCACACTTATATGAATCTAAAACATAATTTATGGAAGCAAACTCATTAATATTGTTAATTAAAGTGAATACTGCCTTTACAGTTAATTTTTTTGTTAACCAAGGCACTTTTACAGACTTATCTTCAGGATTTTGTTTTTCGCGATACTCGTTTACCGTTCCAAGTCATCTATATCAATAAACTTCGTTTTTTGTTATCATCAATATCGAGGCCAATTTATCTAACGATTTTGTCACAAAAACTTCCGAACTACATTACTGTTGTATTACTGCGTATAGTCGGTTAGCTCGCCTGGAGATATTTCACTTACAAACATTGGTAAAGACGTACTCTACGTTCTGATATACAGTTCATAGTTATAAAATATCGGTATACTGTAAAAAATGATAATACACGGGTTTTTCATGAAATGATGTACATTCTTCTATTAGACTATCGAAGATGGAAATGTTAAATAAATTTTGAAAAACATCTCCCATGCTTTCAATTGCTTTGTGTAGTCTGTAAATACTTTTAGCACATATAAAATGTCGCTTTCTGTTAAGTGGTCAGATACGCTTCATGTCATCGCTCTCGTCAAGAACAACTACATAGTACAAACTATGCTTAATTACGTAGTTGTACAATACAGCGCCAAAATCTCTAGATGAAACGTCAACTGATCCGTTCACTTGCCTGTTGGCCTTGTCGACCTTGCGTATCACTTTTAGCAGTTGTCAAATTCAGTTGCCGAAGCACTTTTTCGCGACGCGTTTCTAGTTGAACGATATTGGCACCGAGGTCGTCGACACTTTGTTCAAGAAACTGTACATCCCGACCTAAACGTTCCAGGCTGTAATTCAAAAAATTTTTCTTGTTACATAATTTTTTGACCTATATATAGATATTTTATCTCAAAATATTACTGAGTACTGGTTGTAATCTTTTTGCTACAAGTGCAAGCCAACAACCCTGTCATCTGTAATGGGAGTTAATTTCTTTTTTATAGCATGTACATGCGCAAATTTCTCCATATACAAACGCATATGGCGTGATGGTAGTAAAGCAGCATATTTTGGAAAATATATTACCACGTACCTTGCATATTCTCTGTAGAGTTGGTACTTTTCGTGGCAGAGTTTTAGGGCGACGACAGTAGCCATGCCTACAATAGACGTGATGATCAGCAGAAGTGCCCGCGTCCGTGGTAGTCGAGCCGCAGTGGCATTCATGATGCCCTAACAGAACAACTGTAGCCGGGGCAAAGTGGGTGAAAAACCGGAACACATGTTGCCGCACGGAAATAGCGTTGAGCCATTGACTGAAGTAGTTTATAAATAGCCTGAAAGAAAAAACCCAAAATGTACAAAGTGGATCTAGTATCTACTAGAACTTTATAAGCAATGTACTACTTTTAAGCCTTTTGACACCGCACGAAATTAACACGGTCTCATTTATACTGTTCCTAGAGTGTTACGGGGCAGTTGTACACACGGAAGCATATTCCAAGCTTATCTGCAGTAATAAGCTTTGGTGAAAAAAAGTTTAGTTAGAAAAATTAATCAAATTTGTTCGTTTTCATACTGTAACCTTTATTCGCATGAGTGAGATAATCACCAAAAAATAACTATTGGTTATGGCCTAACAAATGCAGACTATGAAAGCACAGCAGAGGATTTTGTCGAATTACCGCTCTTTGTCCAATACGGTATTCCAATACGGTAACAACGGTAATAGTCACGAAAATTTATTTGGTTAACCTGATTGGCTTACGATTTTTATCTTCAATGCTTCGAATAGGCAGTTAAGTGTAATGTATCAGTATTTCTACTAGGTTTGTCTAGTCATCTTTACACACCAAGCCATTTTGGCCTTGTAAAGAAAGGAACGATTGCACGAACTTCTTTCTCCTACACTATTACGCGCGGTCTCAACGCTCGCCATTATCTAACAGCATACGACGATCAAATACTGACGGGTGTTGTCTGTTATTCAAGTCGAGCGTATTTATATCAGGGAAATAGTTGCACAATGCGTTCCAATGAACCTGTTGTGCTTGATATTCAATTAATTTCAAATGATCATTTGGAAAATTAACCTTTGTTTGTTCATCGCTGTTAACCGATCTTCTACGACGTCTAGCTGTAGCTTAATCCCACACGCAAGTAACACAGAATCTACGAAGAAATCTTCTGCTTTTTAATAATCTACAAACATCCAGTCAATATGAGGACAACCGCGTTTTACACTGGATCGTTCGCTGGCGCAAATTTGTATATAGCAGTAATAATATGTTTGCAATGACTAGGTGTTTTCAATGTCATTAGACCACTCAGGAAGGCCAAGAAAAAAAAATTATAAATCCGTACATGTATTTTCTTCGATTAATTTGCTGAAAATCTGCGTTTTTCTGATAGTTACGTAAACAGTAGCTGGTCAAAGGAAATCACTAACGCACTGGTTTCCACCTATAGCTGCGACTTGGATTACTTCCTAAAAGTGTAAAAACGTGACAGTATGATTACGTTTAAAAAGTTGATAAGCACTAGCCTCTACGATACTCACCATGAGAAGTGGACCTATGCTCGTAGCAAGAGATGTTGTCGGTGACAGGGAATCTGGCTCGTTGTCTATGACAAACATAGAGAAAGGTGTTCACGTACCGCCGCGCCGCTGATACCTTCTGTTGGCTCCCAGCATTAACGGCTGAGTCGTTCTCTACAGAACAACCGAAAGTCCAGCAGCTCTGAACTGATTTCTCGACTTCTTCTGGTGTTTCACAATCGTGTATCAACGGCACATGGTCTTTGCTCGGCGCTCTTATTTTCGTGCAATGTTTACCTATCACTGTATTGGCAGTATAATGTAACGGTCATCATTTGTCACAATAGTAGCAATACGATCACCCTGATTAGAAACACAAGATGATCCAGGCAGAGGGATCGAATTTTGTGTGTGGGTGGGTATATGTATGGTGTCAACTAGAAGTGTTCCTTAGCGGCGCAACGAATAAACACCGAATTGAAGTAACTGACACTAGATCGGATAAACGACCAATGCTCATTCGTTCCGATCACGAGGGGCATCTAGGTAGATAAACACAAAGCAATGAAGACGGGTACGCGTGCCGTGTCCGTATTCATTGCTACACTACCATACATGAGAATACAGACGAAGTTACGGCCAGTTTGCACCTATATAGAAGGAACAACTCTAAGCGAGATTATTAACGGTGGGAAGCGAAGTTTGATCAGATTTCATTTACGTGTTTTAGTGTCGATAGGCGTTCGCTGTTGGTTATTCATTGTAATCAAACACTAACCTACGCTATAAGAGATAGGTGAATCGAGCGTCGCAAGGTGCATTTACAGCTTACGGTGTTAGGGAAATTAAAAGGTTTTGTAGGGGGTATAAGCTATAGGTATGTACCTAACTACAGTTATAAGTTGAATAATACATGATTCATTAGTTATCATGGAGGAATTCACAGTAAGGAAATTAAATCATTCTATAGCTTGATTTAGTAACGTTATATTTTATGTACAGATACAGGGTCTATAAGGCGACCATATTCATGATAGGAAGTAACGACGAATTTGCCTGATGCACTGATGTAGCCAGCAAGGTTTAAGGCTGAAAAGGAACAAATGTAAGGTAATCAAGTCAAACTAATTGTCGTGCAAAAGACAATCTAGTAAATGCCTCCATCAACGTTTCAGCATTACTAAAACGATGTGGATCAACCTTGTCCATATATTTCTCAAGTGTTACACAGCCGCTCCATCTGTAGCAATATAGTATGCATTTTATCTATCTAGAGCTGATTGCACATAGTTACAATAGATTGCTACATTGTGAAGAACCTTACCTGATTTTATTTAGGTCCCATTCCATTGAAAATAGTTGTTGTCTCTTTATCAAAGTACATAGTATGATAAAGTAATTGAGATACTTAAATTGTTCCCCTTTTATTTATCAAGCTTCTTATTATGCAGTTTAAATCGGCAGTAAATTAGATCAGTCTTACCTAATAAAGATGTGTTTTTCCATATATTTTATTTTAAACCGAAAATTATCAAAGAATCAAGAACAGTTACGGAATCGTAGGTCAACATTTATATGAAATGCTGCAGTGTACTATGGACGGCATCGTACATGAAATAGTACTACGAAAGCGAGATGTTTTTTCAAATGAAAAAGCATTTCATTAGCACAGTCAAGCCTCTGCGTAAAAGTATGAAATCGATCATGTTTATTATGATTACATTATTAATATGATTACGCTTTCTTTTACCATTGTAACGAAAAACTAAGTGCAAATACATAATCTTAACGAACGCATTACCCAACTAATTAGATCTGCAAAAATCTTATTAGGTGGTATTTTTATTAAACGGTACGGCATACAAGTAATAATGTTCGTTTGTAAAGGTCAATTGAAGTCACTGTATTGTTATTAAGCCTGAGCTTTTTGCCTAAAAAGGTATATCAACGTTCTTGAGGACACTTTTTCTTAAAGAATATTGTACAACTCTCTTTGCTATCCATAGCCTCTTTGAAAAACGCGTTTCCTTCTCGACACGTATAGTGTTGCAACTGTAACACTGTGTTTGTTTCGTGCTTGTTTGGTTCATTGTAGTTGTTTAAGCGTGTAGCCGATCTCAGCTTTTCTATACTGCCTTTTGCCGTTCATGTCCATCTATACGTTCCACAATTTAGTTCAATTTGAAAACTGGTTGAACTAGCGGATCTGCGAGAGGTCCCGAATTTATGCTATGAATAGGAAACTGAGTGTTGTTTTGTTACGGCTTAATAACGTTTCGTAAATAGGTTAACAATTTAAATTTTAACTCTATGCTGAAATTGTAATAAATAAAATTGTGTTATTTATCAGTGGTACGTTTTAGCACAGTGTATACGCTGAAACGGAAGGGTTTGCATTAGCCAAAACGTAAGTTTTGTGTAATCATTGTGACATTGTTCACAATGTTTTTTTGACGGCGTTTGTCCCCTTTCCATAACGGGATCCACCATCGATAGTTAAGGTCAGATACATCCATTCGTTTCACAGAATCTAGCCGATAAACATTCTTACTGCTAGCTAACAACCTATCATCATCATCATACAATTCAATGTATGTATACTATGAATAACTATTTGAAATAAAACATGCTTTTTATGTGCTTGATTTTTAATCAAAAGTAGGCAAAAGAAATTCGTTGTGCTTATCGCATGAGATCCTCACATGATTTGCCTTGAATGGGCATTAAAGTAAACTAAAGCAAAAAAATTGTTAAGAAACGTATTTAGTCGAAGACAACCAGTTTCAGTATTTATTGGTGTTTGTGTTTTCTGCTTTGTTTAACTGTGGATACCTGTAGAAATTAAGAGCGTGCTGGTATACGTCACCATGAAAGCGTTTGTCCAGCCATATTTGGAGATACCACTTTTATGGTTATTCCTGTTGCTTTTACTATCATTTTCTCTATCACACAAGAGTGCGTTGAAGCAACAAAGAAGTTTTTTCAACTTAGTGCTTTGTCGGGTGAACTATGTTGGCACGAGTTTCTCAACAAAAATAAATAAGCATTAAAATTGCCGTTTAAAAACTTATGATTACGTAAAGCCTAATGCTTTTCACAGATGTCTCATGAATATAGCGATTGGAACAAAATAGTTCGTCGTTTCGAGGGTCAATTCTATGGCATAACTCCATATTTAGAAAATCATCACGGCGGGGCCGAAAGATTGAAGTGAGCTTGTGGTCACAGAGAGAATACTCAAACAAGAAGCACATAAAAGGGTCTTGAACTACATCAAGGGCAGGCTCGAAGAAATGAGGCTTGAGATGGTTACACATACAGATAAGTCGGCAGATTAAGTGCTCTTAAATTGACAAAACGTCTAACGTATGCTTTTACGTACATAACATATTCAATAAATTAAAGTTACTATACTATTGCTATCATATCGCTAGTATTTCAAGATCATATTGTATAATCGTAGCTCTTTATCTTTGTTTCTTTTAATTATTCATTAGAATAGTGAGAGATAGCTCGCCCAGATTCAATTTAATAAGTTAGTTCTTTTAAGAATATATGTATATATTTCTCTTTCATTACCGGCAGTAATCTCACGTAGCCCCAAGTTATCGGGATCTGATAGAATAATTCGATATTGAGTCTGTTTTGACATGTCATCGGAAATGCTCTGCGGTATGTTTTGCATGAGATTTCTTTTTTCGATACGTCTCGCACAAAATTACACATAACTTACACTTTTTTCAAATATGATAAGTAACATGTATCGTCGTTGAATTCTTGATTATATACGCGTCTGGTTTTTTGATCAATCATACGTTATAAATAGACCACAGATGGCATTGCAGACGCAAAAGGTACATAAAATCCTTCTTATCGACAGCTTCTATCAATCGTTGCAGATTTACAGATTTACTGAAGATAAGACTTACCTGTCTTTCAATATATGTGCAAATCTGCTTATGGGAAGTATCTTACAAATGGATTTGTTAAATGACCTTATAACAGGCGAAACATATACACAGTTGCATGGACCAAATTCTGTTGTTATTGATACGAGTCAACGAGCAAATTCAACCCAGTAGAAAACGCAATTACATGTTAGAGATCTAATAAACAATGCAGTTTTTGTTGCTCTCTTGTCAAATCGACCACTATCTTTACGTTAGATTAAGCTCGATTTCTTCGTCCTTTACCAATGGCTCTAAAATAATCAATTATTTGTAATACGATAGATTGAGTAGCCTAAGTTTTGCAAGCGGTAAAAGTGAAATGTTTGATGACAAATTAACGAAAATCTCGAAATATGTCTTCAATAGATTGTTTTTTCGACAGCACAGTCATGTCTACTATGTTTTTTATTTCTTACTTATACTGAATAATATTAATTAACGAAAAGTGCTTCTGAACAGATGTTCGACTCGTGGCAAGTAGCCCTCTGGTTTTTTAATCACACGCATGATGTAGCTTATGTTGGTAGCGTGGATCAAACCTGCAGCCTCTGAACTCTACTAATTGTCGTCTAAGCTACCGTGCGTACTAATAACGCGAATGTCTGTTAGCCAGGCGAATCTTACCAACATTCGTAACCTTTAACTAGATTCAAGAATAGTGTACATCTTATGTAGGCCTTTACGGCTACTGCTTCACTAATTTTAAGGAGGACAGGCTTGTTACTATTACTTGAGGTCAGTTAAAGTACACAAATTTGTTGCATATACCCGACCTTATACAATTATATCCCAATCGAAAACTCGTTCTATGATTATGTTAACAAATCTTTTTATCAAGGCTATAATAACAACGTAAATACTTTCTGATCATATTTCTGCCCTTATAAGTAATTCTATACACCCAGAACTAACTCAATGACAAATCGGTCAATGATGTTCTACAACAACGAGGGCAAAAATACCGTTTCTGGTGAACTGAGACCTTGTCCAATTGCACTACAATGTTCAGGAAAGGTTCAGGAACATTGCAAAAGCTTCGTTCTATCTCCATATTTTTGCCGAAGACAGCATAGCCATGAATGCGCTAGAGATTAATGTACTTTATTTCATCGTGCTTTTGTATACCACAAACTTGAGATAAAAGATGTCATAGACCTACCTGTAATACTTTGAATAGGTTTGGGTTACAACCTACAAAACCCAGCACGAAGAAGCGCGCGTAATTTAGTCACTATTTTTTGCCATTGCCATATATTAGCAGCTGATATAAGATGCACGCTATAACGAGTGGCAAACTTTAGTTAATGACTGATGTAAAAATAAAATCGAGCAGGAGCTCAAGATGTCCTCGGTTGAGACGAGGACCTTGACAGCAAAACACACAATCGTGCTCGTGGTTCCTTGTTTACATTCTTCATCGTTTTGTAAAGAAAGATTGATACCTTTTACCTGTTTACCATTTATATGACAGATCTTCCTGCGGAACCCTTACGCAACACGCGATCACAGATTATTTTTAGTGTTTGACCTACATTTATTGAAAACGGCTGCTCCGACAAAAATGCCTTTTGATTGTAATCTTATAATTCAATCAGCGCTTCGCAAAAATATCAAGCTTATGTAATGATGTTTCTTTATCCTAAATCGCCTACTCACCAAGATCCTTGTATACAACACAGGCTTTGGGTAGACATACAACAGCATTCGAACATTGCGCATTAAAGTCATTTGATGTAAAGGCTTGCCTTAAACCTAGATATCGTCAATAGATAGCCTTTACAAAACAACAACTTTCAAATTGGACACAGTTTTGTAAGATTCATCTTTTTCGGGATATTAAAGAAAACGAAATTTTGGACAAATTGATTCCGTTACCTTGTTACCGCTGTTGGAGATTTTAGCTAACATGATTGAAGGCATCAGAATGCTTCTATTGGTGTCCCACTTTGGTGCCATCCGTCCATTAGCTATGCTCAAGCAGTGTCATCGATTTCCATTGCCTAGGAGACTGTGACCTGGCACCTGTTTATCATCGATACACATTTCAATAAACTACATTGGAATTGTTATAATATTTCAAAACACAGAGGCACGAGCTTGACACTAGAGACTATCTTAAAAAGCGCCAGTTTCACCTCTCCTCATAATATTTTTAATTGCTCATGCGTTCAAAAACCCGCATGTCACAAGACTTAACAAGCACGTTAATTTATTCTTAGCTCTGGTATTATAGCCTCCTGATCTAAAAGGTCTTGCATCTATGTTTGATAAAATGAACACGGTAAATACTGCTGCACTTAGATTAGCACTAATAAAAAAAACAAAAGAAGGTAAACTCTTGTAAAAGATGTGTGTCTTGCTTATCCCTGTGGATCGCCTGTCCAGGTGTTGCCTCGACCTACGTATACAGGGTGTTGCACCTGTTGGGACTTAACAAAAAACAGGGATCTTAATCACACACTAATGAGGTGCTACTGGAGCTATCATTTCAACAGTAGGTAAACGCTGACATATTCACAGTAGTGCTGCACCAAATGAAAACATCAAGGAGATTATTTTTTTTATAGAGAAAAGTTTACAGGGTGCTTCTTTATTGAGCGCATCATCAAAATCTCAGTTGTTTCTTTTTTCTTGCAATATAATACAGAGTTTCTATCTATTCTAGTATCTTATTAAGTGATTCAACCGACTTATTTCTTTTTTCTTCCTCATCTTTACCTAGAAACCGCGTCCCATTTGATAAGTAGGTTCATGCAGAAATATGAAGAATGATTGAACAGGCTCAACGCGTCTCATCGCCTCCCGACAATATTGTTACTATTTTTACTATTAACTATATCGCATCGATTTTCAGCTCTTCCGTGCTACAGTACATCGTCCTCTGCAATGCACGCACTTTCCTGGACTGCTTCGTTCTCAAAAATTGTTTCATATACCTTGTTGTCACCGTTGACGTCGTTTCTTTTACTGCTTTTGTCACTTTTTGACACTTGGTGCTCATGCAGCTTCACGCTGTGATGATTCGAACGCGCCCATGTTTGGTCACTACCCTTCTCAGCATTTCAGAGTGTTTTTCATTTTGCTTTCCTTTACCCCCCCTCCCCCTCCCTCTCTCGTATAGTTGATAATGGCGCTGCAGAACGACAGAAAACCAGTTCTTACCGTATTGTTCAATTGTTGGCTGTTTGTTGTGTCAACAGGACTGCTGTATTATCATTGGTGATATAGATGAAACCTTTTTATTGTTGAATTGTTTTATGCTTTGTTCCGTATTATTACAATATTGTTGATGTTTTTCGACATTACATTGCATCGATCATCGTCGTCTTTTTTCAGTATAATATACAGGTTAATATCATAAAAAAGAAAACACTGCACAAGCTAAAGACGTGTATGAACGACCACCAAAGGAATGCACGTGAATACAAAATAATGAAGCCCCACAGACCTACTCTTGTTACCATCCAAGTGATAGCATCTAATGTATAATAATACCTCTCGAGGTTCGCTACCTCATTGGCGTACTTGTGTTTCTACAACAGGTTTATGCGCGTAGTGTGGAAAAATGGTAAAGATTCAATTAACTACACCATTGATTTCAAGACCAAAAACAAGTTGGTGATATTTATGGGTGCAAGCATGGCGATTGTAACACCAAATGTTTTAGGTTTTCAAATGCTATGTGCTTAGGTACCCTCACGTACAGTCTCCGAGCGATAGAGAAAAGAGCACAAGGTCTTAGAGAAAGCCATACGTTATGTCACCGTTATGTTTCGTTGGGGGATTGGTTTTATATTCTACTAGATTTTGGGCTGCTTTGTGGCAGTATACCTGGAAGAGTTACAAGATATGTTTGCTGTGCCTGCGCTCAGCATATAGGAAGACTGAGAACTTGCCTCCCATCCCAAAATCACAATTGGAGCAGTGTCTGGAGAAGGGCATGTGAAGTAAAGAACGATGACTCCAACTATTATTGCCCACTGTTTTCGAGTCAAGCACACACACGCACACTCAAAGACACACAATCATATAGTCCAATTTAAGAACATAAAATTAAATTATGCATTGGTACGGAGCCATTCCATAGATTGCTATAACCACTGTAGTTGGTATTTTGTCGGTAGATCAGGATTGACTTGTTACTGTCTAATAATTGGGTCTTGAAAGAAAAACTGTCATTATTTTCTTAGTGTTGGTTCCTTTCTCTAGATGCCCTATGTATCACCATATTTAGATGAATCTCTTTCTAAATACCTGGTTGCAACATCACAATTCAGATCCATAAAACTGCAACAACAAGAAATAAACACATGTTCTTTGGCCCCTCAAAGAAAATTAATCCCCAAACCTAAAGTTAAGCACAGCATCAGGGAACATTTTCACGTAAGCTATTAGTGTCTCCAGGACCCGAATCCTTTTCGCTTTCTTATACAATTCTGCATTCTTCAATTTAATCAAATGCACGCTAATGGTAGGCTCATGTCTGCAGAAAAATAAATTGTTACAAAACCGTGCCCCATCAGATTTACAGCTGCTATTTCATCTTTAAAAAAGTCACACATTATTATTATTAGTTATATTAAAAATAATAAATGGAGATCAGTCGCGTTCGCATCATGATACTAATCCATGTCACATAGAGGAAGAAAGCTAATTCATTTAACCTAATTCGTAATTGTAAACGATAACAATAGTATTAATAGTATATTAACACTGGTCCTAAATACCAACATCATTGTATATTCTGCCAGTCCCCACGATCTGGTCGGTCATGTATGAAGCATACGCTCTCTCTCTCTCTCTCTCTCTCTCTCTTTATGGCTTTCTGTAACAACTGGGATAAAAGCCTCCGCCAATTTGATGCCATTGGCAAACTAAAAAACTCGAAAAAAACAACTTAGAGATTGCAGATGATAAATCAAGGAACAGATGCATTGAGTTTGGAAATGGAATACATAAAACCTCAGCGTCCTAAGTTCATGCAAAAATTAATATATTATACAAGCAAAAAGATACAAAAAATACAAAGAGCACCGAGGCGGAGAACGAGGCGGGACGCAAAATTGTCATCAACTAATTCTATTCGCTGGTCCAATTGTTTTATACATAGAGAAGAAGACAGAAGTATTTTTTTCGCTCGGAAAATTATATATCGTACAAATGACGTAAAAACTGGCCCAACTAACCACTGGATCCATTTTCTACATTTAGCTATTACAATATGTATAACATAATAATCTGCGTAAATAATACTACACTCATAGAGCAGCACTATAACATAATAATACGAATCATAATAATTATTATACGATGAATCATAATAATCTTTAAAAATCATTTTAAGAATAACTGTAATAAAAATTATGATTTTGACACGAGCAGCACGGATCCATGAACAAGCACAGCACACTAGAAGCGCTGTGATCACGTTTCCACATGTATAATAATGTTATCATTGATAAATTAATTGATTTATGTATATATATATATTCTTTGCACAAATGCTACTTTGAAACATAACTTCATGATTTGCATGCTGTTGGCCAAAGAAACGCATAGTGACTAAGACACATTATCCACTATTGTTACCACTTTTGCTTTTTGATCATCTTCCCCGTAATTCCGAAAGCAGCATTCCTTAGCCTTCTATTCCAATCGTTTATCAGAAGAACTAAATTTCTAGAAAGTTAGTTCGAAATTTATTTTTCTGATTCCGCCAGATACGACTGCGACCGCTTTTCTCAAGGTCGGGATATGCTCGGCTCCCCGACGATCCCAAAAGGGATATATCACTATCGAACGACAACATCCTCATCGAAACAATGAGGTGACTCCTTGCAGAAAACATGTAGTGGCATGTAGTCCCATACGATACGATCGCATAGGATTGACCTCAACCGTGTTCAACAACGGTCGCTAGACGTACGTCGGCGCGATTCAAAAAATATTTTTGAGAACTTTTTTTATAATTTGATAAACCAGAGTTCTGGCTCTACAGGCTTTTCCTGATACTGACACTCATCGTAATACCCACATCTTTACTTTATATCATTCGACGTAGTTAAATATACTATTTCCAGTAATTTTTATTCTTACTGGTGAATAATCATACCCGTAAAATGATGATGGTAATAGTGATATAATAATGTGCACTGGTATAATTGCCTGATCCATTAGGACAGCTAAGCGCAGCGCTGGCGACAGCGACGTCTTTGCTGAGCGCTAGCTGTACGGCGTACATTTCTATCCTATCCCTTCCCTCCCATAAGTGCACCATTTGTACGCTAACCATGGAGCATGGTTATGGGAGCTCTGCGTATGAGGGTTGTGTTTTTCTTTATTGAAAACATCTTATTGTGTGGATCGTACGCATCATCTGGAATATATATGCCTTGCTGCTTCTGCTGTATGATGGATCAACTTTTGTAGACGTTTTGTCACTGCAATTGTTGTTGCAGGTGTTATTACCGCTGTGACATCTTTGCCGTTTGCTTTGATGTCATTAGTGCCGCGGTTCCGTTGTTTTGTCTGTGTCCTGAAGTACCTAGTTGCTTAGGGACGCGGCCTATATCTTTTCATCAGTTTTCTTTCCTCTAACTTTTCATTTGTATGAATTAATTGTTGTTCATTTGTACAAGATATTATTTTTCTTCACGTTCATCACCTGTCGTCATTGTCAGCATCAATAAGTCAGCAGTCGATATGATCATTTATCGCGTTCGTGATTGGTAATTACCTACACAGAATGTACACTGGAGGAGCCTATGGCCTCCATAAAACCCTCTAGTGTGTTCGCTCTCATCCAGTTCGTTTTTGTCCCCACTACGTAAGCAGTGCTCATTTATTGTTTTAAGAGCCCTCAATAAATAATTTGTTATTCTGCCCTCTCGAGTCAAAAATGGACTAATATAAATTTTTCACATATCGTTCGACTACCTCATGCTGAAATGGACAAACTTCTCATCGAAATAAGACACGACAAAGCGTGTCAACAGCACCATGGTTGCACGTGGGGAAATATCTTGGGAACAAGTTAATTTCAAGTTTTTTTTCCAGACGACAACACAGCGCTGTAGTAGCCTAATGGCAATTGAAGACATTTTTCACAAATAATTTGCAGGATCTCACGTTGCTAATTTTTTTTTTGATTGAACCTTATGAGATATATTGTACGAGCAAGAAGTTTGCCCAGTCGACAAAGGTTCGCCATTATTGCCTCATGATTGCTGGATCCACATGAAATTGTTCAACGATTTTGTATACTGTTAGCTTTCTACCGACTTTCAATTAACCAGCTCGCCCACATTGCTTCAACAATCTCTAAATGCCATTTTTAGCTGAAAGTGCCAAAAAGCATTGACAAATCAGATCAGACTGTTGCTTCGATTCAAATGCGTCTTTGTTATAAAGGATTCTCCAATGCGATTTGTTTGCTTCTTGTGCATCGCAAGATATCCGTTAATTACAATTAACCATTCAGCCATTTGTTTTTCACTGAGTATCGAGAACAGCATGATTAGAGCGATGTGTACCGTTTCTATTTTTCTCGATCAATCGAGCTTCTTTCCTTCAGCCCAATATATTGATTAACTATTTGTGTCTAAATGCAATTTGTATTTTAAAACAAATTTCCTCGATGCACTATTCGCCACTAGCAGCATGCTCTATTTCGTTCTTTTTATTTTCCACTCATCCATACACGATCGTTTCCTCGCGAGTTCTCTGCTTCATAATTCATTCCACTACCAATCCTGTCGTTCATCGCTCGTTTCACTTCACTCAGATCTCGTCAATGTCATCGTCATTTAACTTATTTTCATATTATTTATTTATATATATATATATATATATATATATATATATATATATATATATATATTGTCGTCAGTTCTTCGTATGATACAGTAGTACAGATCACTATGGATGATAATACTTAAGTACTAAGGGTGTCCGCCAGATAACGTTAGGTCGTTTGTTCCGCTGGCGGGGCCCCAAGGGCCGCAGTCCTGTGGCCGTAATCCATCCAAGCGGCCGTTGATGAAGGCGTCATTTGATTGCTCAATTGTCCTGCCCCTCCACCATAGGTGGTACCAGTTCCAGTTACTGCCTGGCTGAAGGCACCCGCCAAAGCAGGGTCATCGCTTTTGTCCTGCTCGCGCCTCTTCAAGCAGGCTGCCTTCGGGTTGAGGTTTCGTTCGCGGACCTGCTGTTCCAATTGCGTGATCACGTCGACTGCCTGGTGTAGAATGTTGAGTTTCGTCTGCGCCTTATCAGTCTTCAGGTGTAGCATGCACATTCGACCTAGTTCCTTAAACGCTTCATTAATATCACGAACTCGGATACGTTCACGGGCGTTGTTTGCCTGCCGTTTCTCCTTTTCGCGTTCCATTTTCGTCTCCGGATCAAGGTCTTCCATATCTGAGCCAGCGAACCCGTCTCCGTCGCCGTCGCCGGAATTGGAATTGCTTGAGTGCCATCCGGAGTTCGATGACGCTGCACTTCGCGCTCGCTTAACTCCGTGACCTGACGGTAGGGCAGCCGAGACTTGCAGAGGCAGTTTAGCAATACGCTTTATATCGGATTTACCTTCACCACTAGGTGACATCTTAGCCACACCCGTAACTGGACTTGAAGATGTTGATGCAAACTCACCCGAAAGAGGAACCCCAACCCCAGAATCCTCAAAGCCGCGTTCCTCTGGTCGTGTGACATCAAGTAGACTAAGTGATCTTGGTGGGGCTGCGGTGGCTCCTGATATAAAGAAAATTAACAAAAAGAGGTAAAAAGAGGTTTAAGAAAACCATTGTGCTGAACTAAACAAGAAACAACGATAGTCAACAAAGTAAGGGTATAGACTAGATATAGAACGGAAATTGTCCGCAGCAGATAGTTGTTCATATCTTAAGTTTGCCTAAAATTTATATTTAAGCGACTATATGGCACCTCGAAGACATGCGCAAATATACCATCACAACGTTTTAATTTTGAAAGCATGTTTAGGTAGAAAATAAGGGTTCTTTAGTGCTTCAACGAAGACAATCACAAGGAACTCCACAATAACCAGTACAACCTTGATTAGCTCAACACATGTACCCGTCCTCAAATAAAAAAAAAACTTCTAAAAAAACAGATTCCTACGCTTTGCTTTATAACGCAAGCATGCATATATCCGATGCTACCGTTACTAGACAAAGTATCAGTGCATTTAGTCACTAAAGGTATAAAGCTATTGAGCGATCAAAGTAACTGTACTGAAACAATTATCTACCAGTATCTAGGGTTACAAACCTATCAGTGGCGGCGTCTGAGCAGACGGATTTGACCACACTGTAGGAGGTGGAGATGACAATGAACCTCCGCCTGAGTACCCGACGGGGGTGGCTGATCCACTGCCCAAACCACCAGGTAGACCAACTACTCCGGGTACAGCTGTAGCTGAGGATGGCTGCAGTCCCGTTGGTGGAAAGCCCCCAGTCACGGGCTTCAACGAACTGATCAGAGGTGGTGGCGAGCCAGCAGCAGTCATGTCCGTTCTGCAGAACGATGACATCGGTGGTAGCGTAGCTAAAGGTGGAAGAGGCTGTTTTGAATAGCCACCAGGCGGTGTCGCCTCTTCGATCGGTTGTAGGGGTTGAAGCGGTGGTGGCGGTGGTACCCCGTAGCTTCCGGGATAGCCTCCAGATGAACCTGCGTAACACGACCATGCAGGATCAGTGTACGGATCCTGGCCTGGATGACCCGACGCCACGACGTCGAGGTAGGGATTGACGTACGCTTTTGAACAGCTGCCAGAACCGTTCGGAGTTGGAAATGCATCGTCCACATAAGACTGTAATTAATGCAATGCAAACAAATCATCAAAGATACACATGGTCAGAAATGAAGTGATAGTAAATTATTGACTGATTATTTCATACATATGTACATAGAAAGCCAAGGTTGGGCATATAATGACGAGTTTGATTAATTTTCCTGTCTAATATATAAACACCCAGAAATTTAAAAGATTTCATGGGGTTCTCTTAGAGCGAGAATGTTGAATGTGCACAAGATACGTGTGATATAAGATACGCGCCTAAATTAAACGTGCTCAGATAGTTCCGTTTGTCGGGCAAGTGATTTTATTTCGTGCTTGCTCTCGTACCCTAAAATGTAGTCACCTTCATTTTGCGCACATCGCCTATGTCACAATTTCTTTTATCTTGTTACTTTAATTTATTACATTGGCACAAAATTGCAGTTGATTCTGCAAAATCCTTATAAACGCAATATGAAATGGATCGTTAGGTTAATATATAGTACGATCTTATATGCTGGGCTGATAAAAATCCTATTTACCAGATGGCGATATCCAGAGATGGCGGCAGCAAAATAACCTGGCGCATGAGCAAGATATATGAAGGTGCCTTCATATACTACACCGCTTCAGGTATTTCATGGTATTCCTTTATTTCTTCGATTTTTGCCACTATAAATATTGTATGAGCCGCACGATGGCAAACTATTCCCCTTAATAGTCCACCGATTCGAATATTAATTCTAATAAAGCCCTTTCAATTAATTTGGACATAGTTTTACATCAATTCGAAATATCTAATTAAAACACATATTCAATACACATTTATTGTAAAATAATTCTTCTAACATAGTGTTTAGTTTAATGCACCATACGATTTGCAAAAAATCCTGGTGATTGAATTTTCAAGGAGCTCGGCGGGAAGCCTACTTTCACGGAGCTGCCTACCTGCATATGAGGACAATGAGAAGAGAATAGCATAAAGTGAAAGGACATTCTTTCATACTGAGAGATCAAAGCAGTCGTACCAGTGCAATCCCTTTTAAATCTAATCTAAAATTATAATTACGTTTGACTAAATCTAAAGTGACAATAAGTTCTTCCAATATAGTTAGTTCAACTAAAATATCGTCTGATGCGCTAATACCAACCCTGTGTTTTTTGAGCGATTTTTTAAGGATCGTTGCTCAACGTTTGCAGTTCAAATGATAAATATAGGATACTATCACATAAACAACAATTTTTTTAATATGAATTCTTGTAAATCGTAGATCGACTCACAGGTCTTGAGTTTATTGATCAATAGGCCAATACGCCGTGTATTTTTACTCGTATTAAATGTTTGATTGATTTCTGGATTAACATACAAGTCTATATGGTCCATCTCTCTAAACAAGTGTGTCGTGGTTTTTGAAATATATTGAATTTGCTACGACAAAGAGATGCGTCTGCAGAACGATTATTTTAATTAGAAAATGTTGTCCATGTACATAACAGAACACAATAAATATTATATGCAATGATAAAAATTTTCGCTTGCTACTAATTTAAATAATAGAGTGATCTAATCACCAGAGCAATTCACTGTCAATAGGGTTTTAAGCTCATTCCCGTAACATTCATGATGGAAATAAATAAGCCTTGTCCTAAACAGCCCATACTGAATCCTAGAGTTTTGTCAACGTAATTTTAATCCTCAGTTAGGTGAATCGCCTCGAAACTGACTATCTCAGAAACATTTAGCTGGTAAAAGCCAACTCACATCATATGTAATGTTTTGATTTTGATTAAAAAACACTTTGTAATTCTGTTGTCAGAGGCGTATTTTCGACGCGTCGTTAGAAAATCATTTGTCAATCAGAACGATCGTGCGTGGCTGTTCCTAGCTAACCTAAAAATTGTTGATGGATTATTTGAAGAGTTTTCTAACAAAGATGAGTGAGTATTAAGTAGTATTTTTATTTGATACGTCAGGTAGCCTAAGTTAAACATCACCTAGCTTTTACATATATATATATATATATATATATATATATATATAATATCGTATTTTTTAGATTTGAAAGTGAAGGTGAACAATTGTAAAAACAATGCTGGTGTCGAAACAACAAGGTATCAACAATAATAATAATCATAGCACACGAGAAGTTAGATTAAAACTACGTTCGAAAAGCACTCTAAGCAGAAGTAAATACAGGTAAATGGTCGTGAATTAGTGGAATCGATAGATTAGCCTAATCAATTGCCAGTATTTTTTTCATCGCGGTACTCTTCCTGCCTAAACCGCCATATGACCTACTGCAATACAAGTAGCATAATTCAATAGAGGCAGAAAACTAAATAAACACAGTTGATTGATGACTCTCTGTCTGACACTCCCCAGACGGCTTCCTTAGGCAGTTCAGGAGGTCCCATTAGAGTTAGCACCTAGCCCTTTATGCGGTGCAGGCTATTCAGACATCGTCAAATAATAGTAATTCAAACAAAAGATCGAGAAATTTCAGTTTTCTGTTAAGCAAACAGTAAACTGTGGGATGGTGGTAAAAAAACTTCGCCGGCAAAGCAAAACGCTAGATTCGCTTTTCTAACTATTATAGTCAGTGAAGTACGCTGCCATGGATGGGCGAGACTAAATGTTTTATACACACTAATAATATTTAACCCACATAAGAAGGAAGCAGATGGGTTAACCTTTCACTATCTTTCTCTCTCCAGCATAAAGCGAAGTCTAAGATTAAAGAGTAATAGCGATTTGGTAGGTAAGTGTGACTCGCGAAAAACACTCGGTAATACCGTAAAAAGAATAACTTATGTCTGAATCATAACATATTCGTCGTGTTTCTTAGAATGTAGCATAAATATTAATGAATTCATATGATTCAGTTGCGTACCAATGTCAACTAATATTCGTTTCCTTCTGGCGAAGCCAAACGCCTTTATCCGAGTTACAGGTTTACAAAAACAACGGAGAAATGGATGATTGCTTTTATATAAATTGCTATAATGGTTGCTGATATTAACAAAAAGTTATACCATAGGTACACTTTCTGAAGGAATCAGCTGCTTTATTGGAGCACGAGTTTAAAATGTACTGTTGATATAATGAAATAACCTAATAAAGAGAAGCTTCATGGCCTCGCATGGTGATGTCCAATACACTCTAGAAACGAAGAACTACAAGGCACTGCACATTCGCTCAGGGTGAGTTCGGCATTCGAGAATTGAGAGCCGGTGCACAAATATCGACACCTATAACCGATTAAAACTAAGGCACTTGAGAGCACAAAAGCAGGATCTGACTGGCTTCAATCTGACGCTGTATATAGCAATGTTGGGATCATAAACGTAATCGGGTAAAATAGGTAACTGAAAGCAGGGTAAGCTAGAGATCTTAAACACGAGATGATTGCAGAGTTTAAATGTCAGGTAACCAAAGTGTGGTAGGGTATCCGTTTTTGGATATACAAAAACGAATCCCTCTTAATTACTGGCATCTCAATAAAGTTCCTGGGCCAAACATAGGATAATAAACACCTTACAGAGCCGCCACTAAGGTATGACAGCTAAGGTACTAAGATGTGTATCATGAGTTCATCCTACTTCGTTATTAATTATGATGACCTTGTTTTAAAAGAGTGAGGAATAAGAAATCGTATTCGAGATAGTGTAACAATGACCCAATAATTATATCTTAGGTCATCGGGAAAGCAGGATAAAGGGACTAATGGAGTGACCATAAAAGAAGCAAAAACGTGTGAATATTCGAGGTCTCACTTAAATTTATTTCCGTCTAGAAAAGCGCAGCAAATAAAGTCTCAAAAGGCAGACAACGCAGTTAAACTTTATAAATGCCTACTCTCCACTCCAGCGAAAGCAAATTATATTTAAACTGTGAACCAGGACATGCAAGTCGACTCTCAAAAATCATGTCGTTAACGACATCTTTCCACTATAGGGCCAGCTTCGTTGTTTAATATGCTGTCAAAGGACGTAAAGGAAGACATAAGAGCACCAAACGGCGACAGGTTAAACAACTCCCCACTCAAGCCCGAATCATGAATTACATCCTATTAAATAGTATTAGGTCCCGTTAGTCTTTAAGGTCAGTCCAACTATAGCCCATAGATTATTCTGATTGTTTGTATGGTTTTGGATGCATTTTTGCGACCAACACGCATTACAAGACGACTGCAGGTACAATTGGATTCTGTAATTAACCTATTTTGTCTTCCCCGTCATACTGGGTACCACTGGTCTCACAGAACACAATGCTCCATTTTCCCTCCCGCGCTTCTTGTCCTACCCCGTCCTCCGGTAGCGGTCACCATCGCCAACCCCATGGCAATCTGGTTGCTAATCCGCGCTGGTCCGACGGCCCAATCGGATGCGACAGTGATAGACTGGTCGGATCAAATGCTGTTGATATGGTGTTCCTGGATGTCCCCCCTCGTAAGAGCGACCACGTTTGAGGGGCGAGGAGGAGGAGGCAGAGCGGGCGCCACGACGTCTGAATACGACAACGATGGGCCGGCCACCCATCAACGACGACGACCACGGTCGGTAGCAGTTGCTCCAACGGCAACTTCAACACTACCACAATCACTGCCATTGGCATCGGGGTGGTGAAGAGCAATCTCAAGAAAAGAGCAATCGAACCATCAAAGCCAGACCGAAATGGAAGAAGGGACGACTCAGAAGCCGCAGCACGAAGCGTCGTGACGACAGAGTAGATGAAACTGCATAATCACCGACTTATCCAAAATTAGGATAGTAATAATAAGAAAGTCAAATAAACGCACTGAGTAAAACGACTTATCGAATGAGTTACGGTGATAAATAAGATTACAAATTTAAAGTAGATATAACAGGCAAACCGATTTCCCGCTTAAATTGAGAGCGGTTTAGCTTTTCTGAGTGGTATAGCCTTTTTGCATATTAATCACATAACCTAATCGTGGTATATTGACGCACAAATACGTAAAATACACGAGGGAGAAGAAACGGCAGAAAGCGCAACACATATCTTGGCTCCATAGATGCACATGAGCTCCCTGTGATTAGGGAATCTCCGCTATAATGAGCTGATAAACTTCCATCATAAGGGGTAGAAAAATGCACTCCAAAACGTTAACAGAGATCATGGGAACGATAAAAAGCGATTGATATCCCTTACGACGGACTCATCTTTAACTTCCGACACTTCAGCGTATTCGGTACAGTTTAATGATTCGTATAATTAAATCACAAACACTTCACACAATGGTCTCACGTGCGTACACTTCGTTCTCTATGTATATACGTGAAATTGGGTACTATGGACATATACTTGGTAAGAATCCGATAGTTTTTCATTCCCCAAAGGGAATAGACAGTACACTGCACAGACCGAGAGTTAACTTTTATTCGCTGAATGCAGTCAGCAGGCTAATGTTGGTTGAACTGACATTATGATTGGCATTGGTTACTTGTGATGGCGATACTGTTGGCTAGTTGGATAATGTTACAGCAGTGACGTATAGTGGGCGACGTGTAGTAGAAAATCTATGGTTATTGTCCTACTCTGTTATTGCTACGATTACTAACCGGAGTAGGCTGTGTCCAGGGAGGGAGCGTGGTGGTGTGATGGATAGGGAAGTCGTGATGTCGTCCCGCAGTTGTCGACGGATAACCCATATCGGCTAGACTCTGTTCCGCCTGCTCGGAACCGGCCATATACCAACTAGCGCTGCCGATATCCTCGATTCCTCGGGAAGTCGTCAGCTCCTCAAAGTTCTTACGTTCTTCACTCATTTTGTTAATTCGGTTGAGGTACACCAGTGGTGCTCGGCTGGCTCGCGTAGCGTTGCAGCTTTCACTACCACCTCACGCTTTGCGGCCACCGGGGTTTTCGGGGATCTTTGTCGTCGGGGGTATTGGTACTATGGCAAGGGGCGGTTTGTCGAGCACTAACGGACACTGAACACCTCTCGGCACGACTGAACGATTCACTTCTACACTGGCACTAGCCCTCAGAGGGCCCAGCACGGCGCGCGGCTCAAGGCCAGGCGGCAACGGAGGGGACGCAGCAATGTTTCATCCTCCAACAACCAGCAGCCGAACTACAAAGCAGCGGCGCATTCCCAGAAAACATAAGATGGCTGCCGACGCAGCAGTCGCTCGCGCAACAACCAAAACATCGCAACCTCTCTGTTACATTGAGCTCTTCGTGGCCCCTGAGTACTGCTGCTACTACTCCAAAGTCAAGCGAGCTATGTTTAGTCGTCACCCACGAAACGATGAACGCATTCTTTGGATACAGTTTGAATTTTGTGGCGGTTAATGGATTGCCCACGGAACCGCTCATGATAGCTACACTAATTATAAAGCTGAGTGTTACGGGAGGTCAGTAGTATTAGGTAAATTAACATAAAAGTAGAATATGAAAAAACTAGTAAACATAGAAATAGATCTCATTCATTCTTTCAAAATCAGAGCGTAAAACATGATCAAAAAAAAAAACAGAGCGTAGAAGAACATGATTACGCCAATTGTTCTACGACTGCAAGATGTATCTGTTTGTATATATCATTAAAAAACCTTGCAACGGTGTTTTTGCAATTACATGTTAATTAAAGGTCTCTTGAAATCATCAGTAATTGAGCACATATGTTTACGAGTGATATCTCTAAAAGTGATTGAGCTGTGATTGCCGCGACTGTTCTTTGATAAGACTAAAAAGTAAAGGAATATTAATTCTCAAATAGTCCTGCTCAAACACGCCAACAAAAAAAAAAGAAGTAAAAACATGGTTTTTCAAATAGACGCAAAAATACATTATCAGAAATCGGATGTTTTTTCACCGAACGGCAAAAAATTTTTACGAAATTGTCCAGTGAGTAACATGATGTAACGTGGTAACACCACGTTATCATAAGGATTGGTAGTGGAACAGGTCGCCTATTCAGTTTACCTGTACTATATCACAGTGATACCATATTGTACGAACTGATGGATACTGTTTCATGGAAAGTTTTTTCTTTATGCGGCTGGGTTTGAATAAGAGATTTAAAAGCGGAATAATAAGTTCAACTTGGTTTTCGTATACTGCTTTCGTGTAAGTTGAACAGCTTATAAACTACATCATAAAAAAATTTTTTGGTGACCTTAGTGTACAAAATTAATATCGAGCTATGAAAAACGAAAATCTCAATGAGAACATTTCCGTACTTCATGATATTTAAAAAAATTTTTTTTTGTTCCTTTATTCAATGTACGTCGAGCGAAATTCATTATTAAGGAACATAAACAGCTGTGATGATATATTCAATTGCATAGCATTTTAATAAATCAATGCTTGAGCTGCTTTAATTAGAAAATGCTTGATTGTATCTACGTTCCCTTCTTAAATGGTTGTGATTATAAGGAGCTTGTGTTGTACAAACCAGAAGTGTCAAGCTCTCAGATCGAGCGCCAAAATTCAGCAGCGCTCAGCTTGGTAAGTACCTTTTTATGCGGCTGGGGCAGAGTAGGGGGCAAATGTAGACAGTTTTGGAAAAGGTAGGTTTACGGTTGTTCATTTGCAAAAAAAAAGGTGTGCACCTAACGATTGGGCACATGTGTTTATTGCTCAATATGAATGACATATTAATGGTACACAGCCATATAAATAATAGTGAGTGGTCAGTAATTGATGGAAAGCTTTTGCTTAATATTCAATATTAGTTAGAATACGTTTCATTTACAGCTGTTGTAGTGTACGCAGCGCAATAGATGTTCAGTTTAGCCCCTATCACGAGACCCCTAAGGTCTACACGTATTATAAATAGTGTGGTACACGTATAACTTTTGTAATCAAAGTAACTAAAAAACTTAAGCAGCACCGTTATAGTTGCTATTCTACGTAGATGAACATGAATGAAGCTCTATCAAGTAAGCTATTTTACTGTTGATCCTTCTTCTGGTCAGACCCGCACGACAAAATCGCCATTTACTTATACGGCGTTATCGTTTAGTATCTCTAAGTTCATGCGAACGGTAATAGAGCGACCGCTAATTAATCCATAGTCTAGTTTACAATTTGTATATACGTTATTGCTACGATAAACAATATCGCTAGAGGATATACGAGCAAAAATTACCTGATTGTCAAGAAGTGGCACGGTGATCCTGCCGTGGAGACGGTCGAGGCAGTAGCAGTTTGGGCTAGTAATAGACACAGATGATGCCAAACTCTGAGCAAACAATTACATAATACACCTGTCTATTCACTGTCTTGAAATACATGTCCGTAGGGGCCCATACGACTTGAGGAATAAAATATTTTCTTTAAAAGTGGAAGCGCGCATTTTTTCACACGCCTTTTATAAACGCATCCACCGGGTACTATTGCCATAGAAAAATATTACGCCGTTAAGGAAACTTATGTAAAGCTCTGCATCGTATGTAAATATTTAGTAGAGAATTGCACCTCTCGGAGTAATTCTAGGGTGCTCTTGAATTTTATGGAATATTGAATACTTTTAGATAATTATCATAAAACGTTATTTCTTTACCAGTTAAGCGTCAGCTGCAGGCAAATTTCTCCCAACCGAAAGCAACCTTTTTTTCACGACGGCTTCAATCGAAGGCCTAATTCATTGAAACTATAAACCTAGTTCGACCTGTTTTTACTAGCTGGCGACATAAAGAAAGGATCGGTTAGACGGACTGACTAGTATGTCGTTGTATTTATTCCTATGTGATAGTTCAGCTATGGCCCTTCAAGGATGTGACTTGCAAGCTCATTAAGTACAATGAGTTCCTTGTCGCTATCGAGTTAGTACGTTCCATAGGAACGGGTTTTCGACACCTACTTCATTTGATAATTCCACAATTTCACCAGCGCACTTTACAAATTAATAACTTTTCGATCTACAAAGTAACTCGAGATAGAAGAAATTAAGATAAGCCGGTATTTTTCTACATTATATTGAAAGGCTTTTCGATTTGGCATTCCTAGGCCTTTAACCAAGTTGATTAATTGTGGTTTACGAAAGTTATTAGCAAACTCCTAGTAGGACACAAACAAAGAATAATGAACTTTTTTTTGTCCGTTAGATCACCGCAGTTTCATCGCAGCCAGTCACACTTTGTTAAGCCACAAGTTACAGGCGCAGAAATCAACCATTTGATTCCCTATTGAATTGGCCTTTTCGGAGTTAATTAGAGAAGCCTTATAGAATGGTAATGTCGTCTTAGATAAAGATTAAGTTTCCAACTTTAAATTCTCACAGTGGCTGATCGCTATCATCATTCAAATGATTTAATGCTCGTATAATTCAAATGTGGTTCTGGGGTCATTTGGCTATAAATCGCTTATATTTTTGTAGAATTATCGCTAACCGGGCTCACCCGTTGAATCGATTCGTCGTTGGACGGCGATACTTTACAACGTCGTGACAGAATGTACACTTTACCTGGTCAAAGTACACAGTCAGACCCAAAGCAACACGTTTCCTGCTTAAGGGAGCGTCAATGAAACAAGCAATGACGTACTCTTTTCGTTATCTTTTTCTTTGAGCGTGAAGCGTAGAATCGATAAGACGAGGCGGCATCCGTATCTGCAAATGTATCCCACCGAATGTGCGATGTAGTAAGAACTGCTCGTTTTTTGATAGCGGCATGGCCACCGCTGATGACAATAATAACCCGGTAACCTGCTATCCTAGGCAATAAAGTTTTTGTAGTGTTGGTACGCCCCTTTTTCGTTGAATCGCGTCCAACACGAGCAGACTCAAACACAACAAAATGCTGCTGGCTACACTATCACAGTTGATCTTGCTCGTCATTCCGACAAGTTCATCACGGTGGAATCCAGGAGCCAAAAAGGAGAATGAAAAGCTACCGTTATATTCCGATGTCTGAGAAAACGGGAACGGAAATCTGCTGAGGGTAAAAGACGAAGCGTCAGCGCAGCGAAAGATTAAAGCAAATTGACAAACGTTAATTAGTCGTACTGTAAGTTTGAGAGGACTGTCGATATTATTGTTACTGCTATCGTTGGTGATGCCAATGTCTTCGGCTCATCGTTGATCGTATCCGCTACTGCTAACTATGCTACGAGACGTTTTCGAGAAGTTACCGCCGGCAAAATACAAGTGACAGCAGCTGTCCACATGGCTGAGCACAGAAAAACCTATCTGGTCATCATTTGTTCTTCTGGATTCCTTTGGAAGATTATGAGAGGTTATTTTGGGTCAGAAGGTCATTATCACTGTGCATGACACAGTAACTTCATGGCCTCTACTATTTATAACAAGATGATGTACGCTATTTGCCATCATGGATTGTGCTGCTATATTGGAAAGCATACGTAGATATACATTGTTGAGGCTAGCTAATATGGATGCGTTGTTGACAGCGATGTCAAGGTATAGCGAGCTAACGCTACGTGTAGTAACTACTGTATGTACATACATAGTGCATATCCGTAACGTATTTACAAAAATATACCTTAATTTTACCGTCGCCTCGATGCGTTTAATTTATAATTAGCGATTACTAAAACGCATTAGCGATAGGTGTATCATTCTTCCAATTTATAAAGATTGCTGCACAATACGCCTCCAAATCAGTGTAAATGTCTCTAGTGAAACGCACAGATAGTACAGATCGTCCCCTATTATTTTTTCGCCTAAGAAACCACACGCATCAGCGTGCTACCTGTCCTAGGGACGCCATACGGATGAAATTCGTCCTTCACGAATACGACATAAAATAGATACTAGCAACTTTTATAGCTTCTGCTAACAAGCAATTTGTCGTATTATAAAAGCAGGCTTTTTGTCTACGTTCATTTCTTGTTGAGTCGTGCATAAAATGCGCCTGATCTATCGAGTGCGAGTAGGTCTGAACTAAATACACTTTAATGCCTGACCTGTAATGTCTGTGTTAAAATAAAAGTAAGGATCAAAATCGTTAATGTATGTATAACTTTAGGCCGAATCTACTAGTTGACGTCGTACCGTATTGCACGCCGATCATATTAACGGACAATCACTAGCTTTAGATATTGGCCTGCCAAACACTTCTGCATATTTTCTAACGACGTTGGAGTACCTATTTTCGGCCTATGTATGTAGTGGACTCTAGTTAGATCAGATAATAATTATTATTCTGCACGCATTTCTACCGTTATGGTTCTTACCGATTTAATTAACCGGCAGACCTTTTCATACTTTGACGTGGCTTTCTGTTGCCTGTTATTAACTCTTTTTTGGACGTACTCTAAGTGGCTAACCTTGTCTCGCTGACCATTTTACATTTAGTGATATATCAACGCTGACGATGCCGGTGGCCATCGTGTTTGTCACCGGCGGTGCAGTATCGTTTGAAATAGAAAAGGAGTAAGATAGTAGTTGTTGCTTGTGGCCCTTCATTTGCCTGGAGACTGGATTTACGAAATGAAAACACATCGAGCGCAGTTGGACTCAGCTTGTTGCGAGAACTGTATTACTATCGAAAACAAATTCCCCATGTATACCCCCCTGTAAACATTCGGCTGCACCTTGCAAGTAAATGCATACCGCATCTTGCTTGATGGAAGGCTAGTAATATATGTTTCCTTTTGATGTCAGCGCCGCCTCACGTGATCTTCAACCCTCCATAGACTTCAATGAAACAGCCGTCGCATATAATTATGTTAATCGTCATTTGTATTTATTTACGAAGCCGCTCAAGTGTAATTTTTTGCCCGCAGGGCCAAATTTGGCGCGGTCTTACAGTTTGATCTACTTGTGCACATGTACACTATTCTACAACGCAATTACCCACAATTTAGTATTATGAATTGAGATAGACTGAAAATAATAATAATAATAATAGGTGTTTCGCTTTAAATGATGTGATGATGTAATAGTATAGAATAGAAATAGTAGTTGTACACTGATTTACTCGGTAGATTGTATTATGAAGTTACGAAAAGACAATATTGACCGAAAAAAAAAAAGATGCCATTTAGTTACGTGCACCGGGCATGTCAACGATCATTTTCCCGTGGGGATTGGTCCGTTCACTGAGATGAATAGCTGCGTTCGCCCAGAAACAATAACCCATTTAAACCCATCCTCGACATATAGAAACCTTCAATGGCCTCCCCTGTCTCAAAATAGAGTCATTGTAACGTCTATTGTATTGAGTTTAATACAATTATGAAATGTTTGTTTTTTGTCGTGAAACTTAATCATAGAGCGTCAGCCGCACATTTTTCCGAGCAGAATTTATATAAAATAACATTTTGAATAACACGTATACGTTTCCAAGTTGGTACAAAGAAAAGCACTATTAAATTGAAACGATGCCCTCACTGTTTCGATGCTGGTTGCTAGCGGAGTTAGTCATTATTATGGAATACGTATGAGTAAACAATCGACAAAAGATCGCAGTTTCGTTAAAAGTAACGATGGGCTTCGTTACGATGATGCTAACGATGGGAATCGTTAGCAGTCTCAGTATAGTAGAGAGGTCAGATTTTCGTACCAGGGTCGACCATTTTTTCGGAACCCAAAGGAATCATTTGATTCGGCCCTATGAAAATCCTGCCACCCGATTTTCACTTCTCAAATGCATCAACCATCGCATTAACTCTAGTAGACGCCCCCGTCGAATATGCTCCATTGAGTTCTCTTGATTCTTCTCATCTTTGATCCTTCCGCTGAGTACGGTTGGTCGTATTGAAAATTAGCGGGTTATGTCGCTCGACCATAGATGTATCTGTGATTAAGAAAAATGTTGCATGAAGCGTCTCTCTTCTATGGTCCTATTAAGAAGAGTAATGTACCTTTCAATTTGTTGCTTCTAGTGCCTGAATACATTACTTTGCGCATAGCAGCCATTACTCTAACCAAGGGGCGATCAATCGTCAAACACTTGTTGTATGGTTACATATCTTATTTATAGAAACATTGAGTGAGGTTACATGCTTAACAGTATCTATATACTGTATATAAGTTACTTGTTGGCTCGACGTGTGTTTTGTTTGTTTGTACTCTTTACCGGCGTAGTTCAATGGCGGACTCTTAAGCACCTATATAGTGTTAACAGGCGTTACGCATTTGTCTGTCAGCGTAGTCTCAGCAGATCTTAGCAGGCTATGATGATCGGGTGCCGAGGTTCCTGTCGTTTCCCATCACAGTGACATTTGGCGAAAACATCCGCTGAAGTGTATCCTGTATGGGTGAAAACGGCAGCCAATAGCATGTGGAACAGCAGTTGATAGGTTATCATTAAACTAACTTGCTGTGTCAATGAAAAAAATGAATATTTAAGACGGCGTCCTGCAAAAAAAACTAATTAACAAAAATGATAAGGGTTCCAGTACCACGTGCTCTTCGATACCGTTTTGAAAGCTTAGTTTACAATTGCTGACACTGAATTTCATAAACGCATTCGAAATTTTGCCAACAGTGACGAAGTTCACGTATCCACTAACTTCAGTCACGTTAACAACTAATGGACCTAATTAATGTTATAATTGACATTTCATGAATTTTTTTTCTAAGTAGTACTGTAGTAGCCGACGTTACTCACAACCGTGAGCTTCCTTCAATTTTTGGTTCAATCTAACCACGATCTTGTCGAATTTCAACAAATGTGTAGCTTCTCTTTTAAACGTAGCCCTAAAGAATATTTGAAACTTCGTCAATCCTTTATAAAATTGATAGTACCTATATTATTATTTTTCCCCGGCATTAGGAACATCTAGGGCTATTGATATCATGAATAGGTCGAAGAAATCCTGTTTTCTGCTTCGATGGATCTTATTTGACGAACAAAATGTGAACAAACGAATGCGTTGACACCATTTGGAGATCATAAACTCTTCAACAGTCCCCTCTTAAACCATCCACTTGTTCCCGTACAGCGTTTGCTGTCACCGCCCTGGGCACAGTTGGCGCCCGCGCTTTTTTTAACCACCACTTGCGCCGTTTCCGTCGGCGCTCACCCGGGGGCGCCACCTACCTGTCATTTATAGTGTTGCTCACACCACCGTTACCGTTGTTCTTGATGACAACCCACCCTCTTTCCCCACACTCCTGGTTATTTACCCGTCTAGCAACCAGCTGAACCGTCATTATCCGCTACTGCTGGTTCCAGTGCGCGAAGTCTCGAGAAGGAAACGGTTAGTTGGCAACACTTAGACCTAGCACATGAACGGAAAATAAAACCTACGGACGTAGAACAGCACATCTAGCCCTTATAGAATAAAACCCAAGGCGTACCGCGTCGACGCGGAGGAGATTACGGAGTAAGATAAAGGCAAAACAAGGTTCTGTATCCCTTTCCTTTTTTTTTTTGTTCTCTCCATCTTGTCCCCTTCTCTGTCTAGACGGAGGCGAGCGCGTCCTGTCTAGTACGGGTTTTAACCACTGCGCCGAATCTACCCTTGCCACCCGACGGCAGCGGCCGTCGCTACCTCCATGCATTTACCAAAAGCAGTAGTCGGACGAGCTCTACGGCAGCGGCGGCAGTGGCAGTGAGACCAGAAAAGCCAGCTACCCACCGTCGATTTTTCGGGTGAGCAGTTCAAGTTGGTACCGCTGTGACCGCCAGTTGTCGAAAGGCGGAATAGAACGGAGAAACCCCGTTGTGCTACAGTTGCCTAGGTAAGTGTTATATATATATATAAGCCAGGAGCGGACTGTGGAGTGACATCACTGCTTTAATTTGTCGGCGAGCGAGACACATTAAACACATTCTGTGACAGTGTCACACCACGGGAAGGTTTATTCAGTACCACCCATCGCTACTGCCTCGTTTGGAACGTTCGTTAGAGAAAAATAGGACCGTTAATTGATCGAAATCGAAGTGAAACTGAACGTCGCTAGAGGTCGCGTTGCAAGCTGATGCTAGCTTCATGTTGTGTCACTGGTCAGCGCTAGTGACGACTGCATGCACCACTATCTTCGTTGACGAAACGAAACAGAACTGCAGGAAAAGCCTGATAGTGCTTATTCAGTGTAGAGTTTCCAATATATAGTTATATTGTGTAGTTGAGTCGGAGGTGGTAAAGACGGAGCAGCTGGAAGAAACATAGCAAAGGACGTTCAGATGCTCACTTTACGTTAGCAAAACGACCGACAGGGAGTACGTTGTGACAGTAAGTGTTATAATAAAAAAGACGAAGATCTCTCCTCGTTTAACCCCAGTGGGAGCGGCGGTTGATGCGCGATTTGGATACAAATTTGGATTTGAGTTCGGAACAGACGTCGGCAGAAAGTTCGGAGCTGATCGCCTCTGGCAGGTGAGTGAACTATTGTTTATTCAGAGTGGTGGACAACCACTTTACAGGTTTTCAAAGCGGTCGCTGAAACAAAAAGAACGAAGCGGGTTTTCAGGTGACTTTATCAAGACAAATACTACACATGTCGCACGCAAGGTTCTGTCTTCTTGACGAATTTAATGTAAATCTAATGACATTTTAACTATATAAAGAAAACACACGTTACGAAGGGCACCAAAAACAAAGGTGCGCACACAATGTTCGTCTATCCATTAAAATCGATAGACCGATAGTTGAGGTTCGTTCTGTGTTTTCTAACGAGTGATGCTTCGTGCCTTCATATTGCCCGTCTTCGATTGATTCCTGCCACTTCTCTCGAGTTAGTTTAGAAGCTGCTGCTGTAGTGCAGACATTTCTGTAGACGCAAGCCGTCGGTCAAAACCCTAGAACGACGGTCAAGTTCAGGGTTAGCTTTGCAGGATACGCTTTCTTCTTTTATTCGAAAGCAACGTGTTTGCTTGTATGTTTTATGAACGAAATACGTTTTGCAAGAATAGGCTATAATGGCTTAGCCTTTCTGAGGTTGACGTCTACCCATCGATCAGCGATGCTGAAAGCATCGTGCATGGATGTGATTACCAGACTGTGAAGCGTTTAGCAAGTTTCCCTTCCATGTCAACTTTTCAAGCGCCTACAGATCGCTGATGATCGACAATGAAATACAAAGGAAAAGTATTGTTAACGTGGCTTTTGGGCTGGGTCCAGCAGGTCTTTCTGAGATCTCTTCCTTGACGTCGTCTCCAACTGCGATTCGTAACAGCCGATGTTAACAGGCGAGTATAGGACCATGTACGGCCGTGCCCGTTCTACGTCCAATAAACGTGGGTATGGACGCCTTTACGGGAACCAATTGAGAAAGACACTTTGTAATAGGCAAAGGTGCCTACCTAAAACACGTCGAACTCTTCAGCTCTAGCATACAATAATATGAGGCGGGCAGTGAAGAGCAGTCGTAGAAGGTACAGGAGAATGCAAGGGACACGGCAGATGTGGAAGGTAACTTGAGGGCTTCGCATTTTTATGATGAGAGCCTATTTAAGGCAGCAAGTGGTGGTGACCACGTCGTTCACATCGTGTGGACAAACTGTGTAGTTGAAATCGGCCCCTAGCTGGCTAAAATCGTGTGCGAAAACGAACAAAATCGGCCTGATTGCCAGTAGATCGATTATTAGCGTATCACGTTCGGCATCTTGCTGATATTTTTTTGCAAAGCGATATTGCTATGGTGCAGCGGAATAATGCAACGTGTGTACAAATGTATCTAAGAACAAAACGTATTGGCGACGTATCTGTTATACCCGTGTGAAGGTGATTCTTAATAGGATTTAGATTCTGTCACTACGCTATCGTACTAGAATATCGCAACCTTATAAAATTGTTTAGCGATGCTACTTGAATGTCGAGGATGTTAGCTCTTCGTGATTGCTATCGTCGACAAGACGACTTGAGCATTGGCTTCCGTCCGTTTCGTACAAACGCTCGTTTATACGGACCATTGGAGCCTGCCACTACACACAGAACTATTTAGTGTTTATTCCTTAGCGTTTGTTGGCAATGGTACAAGTTTCAGAGAAGTCGACTGTGTTCCTCAGTTTGGGGCATCACTTCCAATGCAACCAGCGTACCTCGTCTCAACTCGTCCGCCGTCAACAACATTTGCCCTTCGTATACAGTGTGTCAATGCAACGGCAAAGGCATTCAAAGCAATCTGTGCACAATTGATGGCATCTCTTTTAAAACATTAATCGGTAAATTGCGGCGTGCCTGTATATTTATACGGCATCCATGCTGGCTTACAGTTGAGTTTTGCGCGCGTGGTATAGTAGCATGATATTGGCTAGTAGTCATATAGTCCGTGTGTACTTCAATCGTTTCGATCACTCTTAGGGCCTTCGGCCTGATATCAGCATAAAACGAAATTCCGGTGGAATTTTTCATAGGCAGCATATTTGAGCCACATCCGGTGTGCACGTATTGAAGAGAAACCGTTTCTAACTTGGCTAATGAATGGTTTAGGCCTTGAAATGAAGATGTAATCGCGGCAAACAATGATGAGATTGTGAGTAGTAATTACGGCTGTCATGAACGAGACTGGCATATCCAATACACATGTTTCATTGTTTATTTGTTCAGACACTGTCATATAAACAACGCATAATAACAAGCAGGGGTAAGAAGTTTTTTCCCATTGTTTTCGGGTAAAGGAAAACGCATTAGTGAAATTCAGCTCTAGGAGGATCTTCTTCAAATAGAGGGAAGCTTGTAATTCTGTTTATTATCAGTCGAGCTGGATTTAGACACATCGTATTGTAGATTGTGTTTATATTAAGTACGTTCGATTTGTTAAACGTATTAGTTGATTGAGTTCTGAGAGTGAAGATTAGGTGTTAGGTGACGATTGTGTGCGATGGGAAGTATTAGTAGTGATTAGCAAATGTATACGTACAATTACTAAGTTGTTTTGCGTATAACTACTAAGATTATCATGACAACGGAATAGCTTGTTACTAAATTTGGCATTTATACTATATCGATTGAAGTAGAAAATGCCTCTTTTAGATGTATGCAATACGAACCTCAGCATTTTGCCTACACAGTATAAAATATCCAAGATTCACCATTGGTGAAGATCGTAACAGAGTGGCTTACCTGCGTAAAGTCCCTTTGCGTGGAGAGGAGTGTATTAAGAACGTCGGTATCTAGTAACGTTACTAAATTCTATCGCAAGACGAAATATCACTTTAAACACAGTCGAACAGCTCTAAATACAGCTCGTCAGTGAGATAGCCATGTGTTCTCCTTTCTCCTATATTAGGCGGCTTTTTGCTGATAGGATTAATGAGGACTCCATACAAGTGGTTGGTGACAGTATGCAAGGATCCAGTCTAAACTAGACATGCAAAGAGGTATATGCGTGTTGCAGAGCACAAAACTGCATGCCACATCCTATGCTTCAGTATAATGGCAACACGTAATTTGGCTGTTCATACAAAGCAATAGATTCCTACACTGAGCTTTCCAGAAATCTTAAATGAGTTCGAGTTTCCCAAAAGACCTTATATGGTCTGATAAAATGCCCTATTGCAAGCCGAAGTATAGTTTTGCCGCCTTGGAAAAACGTTTATTTAGCATTTTAGATGTAAAAAAGTGTTTGGGTCGTAGGCGAAGGACGAACAGCCTGCACGACGCCATACTGTGGCATTCAGTCAGCAGATTTGATCATTAGGTTGGTTAGTGGCTAAGGCCTAATTTTATACAACGGCAATAGGCCATAAGAATTAACTTTAGCACCTGGTCGATTCGGAGGTAGCCGGTGTGCACGAAGCCACGGTTGGTAATGATGCATGCCAATAGTCGTTGCTAGTGGCTCTGCCGCGAGTCATAGAGCTATAAAAAAAAAAAAAAAAGAACCAAAGTGCTAGCAGCTTTGTAATCCATTGGTGTTCTATTTTAGATAGCCGGCTACTTAAGCAGAATGAGTTCAAGCGACCCGCTGTCCAGTGATATCCTATGACTGGTAGCGATTGCAGATTTTATGAATGGTAGGTTACATTGCGCCTGCTACTTCAACCTCACGTATTTTTATCAAGACAACGGTGTAATGATTAACTGTAGCTATCATTTGATGCAGTTTTAAATTATTACGTCTACCTTTTTTTACTCGGATCCCCGTTCCTCTTTCGGAAAGCATGCAAGCATAACAACTAAGACCAAAGACATATAGATGTAAACACGAGACCGCCCAACCAGACAGAAACAATGCATTCCTATACATATGCACAACATGTGTGGGCATCGTTACAGGTATCAAACGTCTGCCAAAAAAGGTGATAGCCAACGTCACTCGATGAATTCATTCCATATCGTTTTTTGTCGGTAGTCAGTCTGTTCTCATAACCCAGCCACAGCCGCTGAACAGAGACTGTTTTGTGGATTACTCTCGTTCGGTTTACCACTAATATAACTATTGTACAACCTGTGCAAGTATCATACGGTCGTTACTAGACCGCAAAATTTGCCTCCACCTTTATGTGTCTCCATCGACCCGCCTACGGTACCGAAAAGTATTGGCTGCCTCCCCTATGGCCCATTATTCAAAGAGTTGCAGAGAGAGCCTATCGCAAGCAAGAGCCGACAAACACTCTAAACGCAAGGAACATCCATATCACACGATGCGCTGAACCCGTCATGGGGCGGCGGTCGGTGAATTACATTGGCGACATCTTCATCACGGTTCTGATTTTCACGATGACGAAAATAATGACCCGATCTCTCAAGTGGGGACATTTGGCTGGACTCCCCATGTTTTTTTTTCAAATGCTCCCTTCTTAATCTTCTTTTCTCATTTCTTTTGCAACCAACGTAAATGGTGTGGCAACTGTTATTGTAACGGTTTCCGGTGACGACAAAGACAGATAGATCCGTCTGTTTTTTTTTTTTTTTTTTATTTTTATAGTTTTCCCTTCCTCTCAACCAAAAAATAAGACGGTGGGCCTTATAGCTGAGAGAAACAGTTGTATGGTGTGACAATTGTCAAGCACGTCTGGGGTGTGTTGCTAATGGCGTTGACATTTGCCTGACCAATGAAGAGGTGGCCGACGAAGACGATGCTGTTGATGAGGAGGACAAAATAGCTTTTTCGCTGCAGAGGTTTTACCATCAGCAATTTGAGCTGCTTAGTTTACCGGAGTCTCCCGTAGCGATGTTAAAAAGTGTTGTTGTCGAGCGTGGTAGAAGGAGCTGCGCAAACACTTAATAAACTGTTTGCGCATGCCAAGTATCCGGCGGACATTGAGCGCACCATTTGTTGTTTGTGGCACTACTGCTGCTGCTGCTGCTGCTGCTTCAGCAGGGCTGCCCCTATTGACGTAACGCTAATAAAGCAGACGAATTTGCATCGTCCTAAATATTTACGGGCAAAAGCAAACAACACTGTATTTGACCGCTACCCAAAAATCCCT